TCCGGGGTGTGTGCGACGGGTTCTCGGGCAAGGCAGGGGAGGGGGAGGCGACGAGGGAGGGGCAGGTGAGTGGGGGATCGAAATCCATAGAATTGGATCGGCGCTGGTCCCCCCCTGGCAACGCCTCCGACGCTGCCCCAGGCGCGCTCCGCGCGCCAGGGAGGGGTGTCAGCGCCGATCATCAAAATCCACGCGGAGCTCCGAAGGTGTACGTTTTTATTTTTCTCGTTCTAGGGGAGGGAGGTATTCATCCCTGCATCCTGGAGGCCAGCACCCTCATCCAGATCCCTGCTGGCCATGACGAGGTCATGGTCTCTGGGCTCCAGAGTCCTCGGCCTGCCAGTAAGCCAGGTACACTTGGGCGATGTAAGAAACTAGGGGCGTCTTTACTGATGTTGCCGCGCTGATGTTTCCCCCATCCTACTGATGTTACCGCGTAATGTCGCGCGTGAGCGCCCTCTTTTCCAATGTGGCTTGCCACGCTAGCGGCACGCGTAAGCCGCAGCAGAAGGTCGCTATGTCGTAGCGCGTAAGACCAGTTTCTTGTCGTCGCTCATTTGATGTGGCTTGCCTGGGCGAGAGCTGGATAGACCCGTCACGTGGCCGCACGTCTTTCGGCGCTCGACCCTCGTGTGGCTGGACACGCCAGCCCTCCGCATGTGTATCGTCGGGACGCCTGGCACAGAGCACGGTCGAGATTCGGACGCAGTTGTGCGCCAGCAGATCAGTGGCACAAGACACAAGTGTGAACATCGTGCAGCGATCTGTGCCGGCAAGTCTGGCGCAAGATGCGGGAGAAACTCGGACGCCGATCTGCGTTTGCAAGCTGATCTGCAGTGCGTGGTGAGTTTGGCCCCTGGAGTTTCAGACACCGGCTCGCGCCTGGAGATTCGGCGCAGGGCGTGCGCGAATTGCAGGCGTTCGCGCCAGCAGATCTCGGATAAGCACGCGAAAAGCACAGGCATTGATTTGCGTTCGCGCCTTCGGCGTCAAACGCAAACGAACACCTCACGCCGATATACGCCAGTAAATCTGCCGCGGATCACCATTCTCCCCCTTCTCATTCCAGCGCCTCATTTCTTCCTTTTCCTCCTGCTGCCCCGTATCCGTCGCTGCCGCTCTTCCATTCTCTCGTCCTTCTCGCTCCTAATTACCTTCCCCCTCTATCCATAATCATACCATGCAGCACCTACCCGTTGGGGTATTTTACGAGGGACCTTGACGTGTTGCCCGGGTAACCAGGAGCTGAGAGAACGCAGACACATTGGGGAATTCGCTTGTTCGCGCCGAGGGGGTCGCGTGCATTCTTAGAAGCTTGACAGACATGGCATCCGAAAATCTTCGCAGATGTGTGCTCTGACTGCCCGTGATGAGACGTCGCGTTTGCCAAGTCGCTAACCTCCCAGGAGTATTGGAACATGCACGTGTTTGTCTGGCCCTCCTGCTTTGATGAGTGACCACGATGCCCCATTTCTCAAACCTCGCCCTCGCAGCCTCGCGGTCCCAAGCGAGGGGCGCATTCTCTGGCGCACTCTGCTTCGGGAGCCTTGCCGCCGCCCCCTCCAGAGAAGGAACACACGCCGTGCCGGCGGTGGCATTCCGAGGGCGTCCGGGGCCAAGGGAAGCTCGGGCGCCCGAGAAGAAGTTGCCGGCGCTCGAGAATTTCAGAGGAGGGAAAGGTACAGTGGAGGCCCCTGCCAAGGAGCACCCTGCTTGCCTCCAGGGTGCCCTGGGTTTCTTGGGTTTCGACGGTTCTGCGATTGAAGGCGTGACGTTCCCGCACCAAAAATCGATGGACGTCCCTGGAGTCTCAGGGGGTGGGTTTCTTGTGGACTGCCAGCTCTGCGATGCTGCCCTCGGCACTCTGCTCCACCGCCGTGTTTGCGAGGCCTCGCTGCCCCCAGATGGGTGGCCCAACCCGCCCGAGGAGTGCGGCCGCTTCGTCTTGTCGCTCCTGGAGGCCCGTTTGGACATTTTTCGAAAACAAAACCCACGGGAATGGGAAGACAGTCGGGGTTCGCTCCTCGCAGCTAGGGCCACAAACGTGCCCTTTTCCCAGGGCCGTGGCCCGGCGGTGGGAACACGTTCGGGGCGCGCATCGCAATAGCTGGCTGACCTGGAGGATTTGGTCAGGCAGGCTGCATGCTGCGCGTTTCGTAGCAAGCTTGGTTCCTCCCCACCCCTCGATGAGGATCAACTTCGCCTCGTCGGCGCGCAGCGCCCTGTGTTGGAGCAACTTCGGCACGCCAAGGTTGCCCGCGCGTGGCTCGAGACGGGGCTTTTGGCGGCGGGGGCACCCTCCGACGCTTGTTACGAAACTGGGAGTAACCCAGGGGCGCGAAGATAATCGCGCTTCGCGTGGCGCCTCGTGAGAGCGCGAGCACGGTCGCGCGCGTTGCGCATCGCGGGGCCCGATGCGCAAACCCAGTTTACCTGACGCAGGGCTCACTCGCCGCGCTGCCCCCCTCCCCACAGAAAGGGGCGGCTGTCGCCGTGCCGCCCCAGCTTAGTCGTACGCTGCAGCCGTGCGCCCCGGGGCACCCAGGTGCAGTCTTGCCGGGCGGCATCGACGTCCGAGGCAGCGAAGCCGCGGGCTTCCCGGCGTCCGCGCCAAGCGGCGCGCAGGAAGGCCAGCAGTTGTGCACACGTCTCAGAGGCGTGGGCACCGGCCGCCGCCGCGTCGGCGTCGGCGTCACTCGCACAGGCGCGGGGAGAGCTGCGCATCGTGGTCTGGGCTGGAGGAGTTGCCCTTCTCCAGGGTGTGGCGAGAGCGTGAAGTCAATTGCGCCTCGTGCTCTGCTCAGCACGGTGCGCAAAAGCCAGTGGCCTGGGCTGGGATTTGCGTGGGCCTCCATCGCCGATTCCTCCAGGTCGGACGTTAACATTGGGGCGGCTAGACTCTCCTCGGTTTCGGCGACCAGTGGCCTGTTTCGACCGTTCAGTGACGACCTGCTGGATGAAAGATGGCCACCTGGTGGGAGGGGTCGTGGGCCCGCTGAACGAGCAACCTGCGATGTCAGAGGCCCGAGTCCGCTGACACTCCTTCTGGAGGTCTTGACAGTGGGCCCAACCCGTTGCCGTCCTGTTGTGTCGTCAGTGCGCGGGCCCAGAGCTATCGACCTTCTGGGGATTGGTTCTGCTTGCTTGGTCTTGTTTTGCAGGGCCCGCAGCCTCCCTGATGCCGAAGTCGACGAACCTCCGTTGCGGTTTTGTTTCAACCCACCACCCAGGAAGCCTGGCGGCCCAGATGAGGCTGGGGTAGATGGGGTTGGAACATCGCGCCGGATCGCCGATGCGACGCGATCCGGAGCCGTGCGTCCTTCACTTCGACGTCGCGGAGGCATCGGCGATGCGTCTGCGATGCAGAGCGATCCTCTGGGCTCGTCTGCTTCGGCCCCAGCTGGGCCTCCGCGGGAACCGCGGGCAGGTATCGAACCCTACGGCAAGGCGACCCTGGCCATCGCCCTCGGTGTGTTCCACAGCGGCCTGTTCCTGCAGGGTCGGTGAGAGCGCAGCGCGAACGCGCCCAGCAGGGAGCTCTCGGCGCAGCGTGGCGCCGGCTCGAGGTGCCAGATCACTCAGAGCGGCGACGGGGGATTAGCGCGCGTGCCTGCCCCTCCCCTCCCCCTCGCTCAATCGGTCAATCAGTCAAATATCAGCAACTTCAAAATAAGTGCAGCTGGTTCTGTCCTGGGTGAAGCAAGGAATAGTGGAGGTTGGACACAGAGCAGTACGGGCTGTCTCTCCAGCCACTGTCCTCCTTCTCCTCCTCCCCCCTCCCTTTTCTCTCCTCCTTCCTCCTCCCTCCTCGAGCCTCCTCCCTCGTTCTCCTCCTCAGCCTCTCCCCCCGTTCCTCCCTCCTCTGCGAGCACGCAGGCCACCCTTCCCCAAGTCTCCGAAAGGTCCCTGACCTCCTGCGCCGTGGCTGCTTCGACGCTGGCGCGCTTCTTCGGTTTCGGCCTCCTGGGGGCCCGCTTCGGGCACTGGGGACGAGCGGGAAACGATCCATGGGCGGCGCCCACAAGGGGGGGTGGCGCGAGCGGTTTGGGCATCTAGGAAGACGGCGGGGCTTCTAAGGAGGCGGCGGCTCTTAGAAGCCCGCCCGGCTTCCAAGAAGTCTTTCTGGAAGTCTCCCGAGGCCTTCTAAGAAGCCCCCTGCCGTCTAAGAAAGCCCTCCGCCTTCTTGGACGGCCGCCCCCTCTCGCGCCCCCAAAAAGTTGTGGGCGCCTACAAATCCAGGGACGCAAACCAGGTCCTGCCCACCATCGAAACACACAACGTACGTTCACGTGTCCCCGGCAGCCCGATGTTCATCATTTCGATGACGTCGCCGATGCAACGCCCACGCATCGCAGATGCGTCTGCAAATTAGTTGCGCAGTGCGATCCTCCAATCCCATCATCTATTCCGCGTCCATTTGGGCGGCCGCAGCTATCGGAATATGTCGGAGGACTCATGGATCTGTGTACAGGGTAGTGAGTGCCAGGAGGGGGGCTGTGAAGCGTACCTTCCGCAACCGTTGTGGCTCCAGGTCTCTCTTGTGTGTATGAGTCTCCTCACGGCATACTTCCACGGTGTAGTCACCAACGTGATCGGCACCTGGCTCGGCCCTTGGGTGGCGCCGCAGCCCTTGCACTGCCACTGTACGGGCTCGGCGGCGGAGCCTGGGCTGATCGAGCTGCTGCAGTCGCAGCTCAACAGGTGCGGGCCGTCGGACCTCGCGCCTGTCTGTGCGGTCTGCCCCGTCTGCCCGCTGCCGGGCTGGGGGACGGGCGACGTGCTGCTCGCGGGGCTGGTGGGGCTGATCGTGGGCGCGGTGTTCACCACTTGCTGGGCAGGCGCGAGCCTGCCGGTGCGGCGAGTGACTGCCGAGCCCTGGGCGCCACGCAGCGGGGGCTTCGTCGAGACGCCTGGTCCCATCGTCACGCCGATCGCCGACGGGTCCCCTCCAGGGCCCGTGAAGGGCAAGGGCAAGCTCGGCGTCGTCGTGCAGGCCTAGGATGGCCTTCCTGGAGTCTGGCTCGTCAGCCTTTCTGTGCTATGTTGGGGATGACCTGTACCATGAGCGTATCATCCTGAGCTGGGTGTCTGCGAGCGAGTATGTAGTTGTTTCTCCTGACCTGGACATCTTTATCGAACAGATCGATGCAGCCAGTGCCGACTTGCAAGGGCTACGGCTGGGCAGTTCCGACGTTCGTCTTCCTTTCGGGATGGCCGGCATGCAGGTCTACCGTTTCCAGGTGCGCCCAGCTGGCGCGGACTTGACGCAGCTCCTCGCCGAGGGCGAGCGCCACGCGCAGGTCGAGAGGGCCTCGCGCGGGCCGGCCGCGCCGCCTGGAGCCGCAGCCCGCGCTGGCCCGGGAGGGGTGGCCCATGTGGCCGTCCCGACGCCGCTGCCCGTGGCGGTGCCGCCCGCCCCCGGCGTGGCCGCAGCGCCGCCCCCGCCCTGCCTGGCGGGGCCCGCGGGGGCTTGGGTGCTGGACGAGCCCGTGGACACCTTCGTGCTGGGGCAGGAGGTGCCGCTGCCGCCGACGGCGCTGGACGTGGGGGGCCGAGCCTTCGTGACCGTGAACGGAGAGATCGTGTCGCTCTCCAGGGTCGCGCCGGGCACGGACCTCGCCGCCTGGGGCCTGGGTCGCCAGCAGACGCTGCTGAAGGGCGACCCGCGCCTGCTGCCACGGCCGCGCTCCCCGACTCCCGTGGCCTTTGTCGCGGACGCTGCCCTGGTCGTGCGGGGTCCCAGTGTGCCTCTTCGGACCAAGGGTTCTGGTACGCTGCAGGACTCGGTGAACGAGATGTACCTGCGCTCCCTCGGGGGTTTCACTGCAGCCCACGATCGGTGGCTGATGGAGTCGAGAGTGCCCGCGGGGTCGCGGTCGGGCCATGGACATCGAGTCCTGTGCCGTGCCCTCACCTTCGCGATGGAGTCGGACGGGCTCAACATTGCGAACTTGTCGTGCTGCGAGTTTCTGAATCGACGCCGAATGCTGCTCGAGACTGCCACCGAGATGATCCTGAGAAGCCCGCGTTCGAGGGCTCGCACATCTACATGGGCGAGGATGAGGAGGGCACAGGCGTCACAGTGACGCCCGCCCTCTGGGCGCACGTCGCGTCCGAGATGTCGAAGGAGTATGCGATCGAGAAGGAGAAGAGGAAGGCTCGAGAGGCCAAGGCGGAGGCGAAGTCGGCGGCGGCCCGGAAGAACGGCCCGCCGCCGGCGTCGTGACCGCCTCGGCCCTGGGAGGGGGGATGGACACGATCCTCGCTGCCGACCCCCCTCCCGCCGTTCACGCCAGCCAGGCGCGCAGAGACCGCTGGCGGCGGGGGGGTGCGCAACGCCGTGGCGCTCCTCCGCCAGAGCATGTTGGCCCGCGACCTCCAGGTGGACCGCGTGAACTTTTTCCTCTACCCTTCGTCGGCTCAGAGGGGCTGACGTGGGAGGGCGTCGGGGTGTCCAGGGCGGCCCGCCGCCGCAGCACCTACCGCCGGCTGGCCCTAGACGATGCAAATGACATGGTGGCCGCGTTCAATGCCCTCTACGGCTGTGAGCGCGACGCGGTGGGGCCGGCGAGCCCAGCGCAGTCCTCGGTGCATCGACATCTGCTGCGCACCGCCAGGGAGGCCCGGCATAATTTTGACCAACTTCTACCCCATGAAGCTGCGGCTCAGCTTCTGGGACCTCGTATCGATTATGGAGGTGATGGTAGCGCAGTGCAGCCATATGACGCTGAACGGCTATCTCTCCCCCCCGCCGGGCGGGGCCCGGTGGACACCGCGAGGGTGCTGGACGAGGATGTTCGGAAGGTGCTGACTAACTTCGAAGACCTCATCCTCGCGAGCCCCGACGTCGTCTCCGAGCGTAGGGGTCGCGCGCCTACGCGCCCCTACTTCGACGTCACCTTGCGGGCTGACAAGAAGGCTTATGTGGACTTTCTCCGGCGCCTGATGGATCGACGACTACTTGGGGTGGCGTCGGAGTCGCTGAGTCTTGTGACCATTTTCTTCGTGGCCAAGAAGAATGGGAAGCAGAGGCTCGCGCTGGGTTGCCGGCTCACCAACGCTCTCTTCGCCCGCGCCCCCACCGTCGAGATTGGGAGCTCCGAGGCGATGAGCGCGGTCGAACTGGAGCCCGGCCAGGAGCTGCACGCTGCCTCGGCTGACATCGAGGCCTGCTTCTACCAGTGCGGCGGCATCGGGAGGTTGAGTAACTATTTCTGCCTGCCCTCGGTGCCCGTCGAGGTGGCCCTCGAGCTCGGCCTGGCCGTGGACGTGTGCGGCCAGGAGTTCACCGGGCGTGAGATGGTTCACCCTTGCCTTGTTGTGCTTCCCATGGGATGGAGCTGGAGCTTCTGGTTGGTGCAGCGTATCCACCTGGAGATGCTGCGCCGCGCTGCGGTCCCCGACGACAGGATCGCCCTGGGAGCCTGGCCGCTGCCGCCCTTGACTTCAGGCCCCGTGGAGTTGCCCTATTCAGACAACATCAACGTGCCGGGGGTGAGGGCTGGGGAAGTCACCGAGCTGAGGGATCGTGTCGCGGCCCGCTTCTCCGAGGAGGGCTTCAGCATGCACGAGATCTCAGAGACCAGCGTGCACTCGACTATCCTGGGCGCCGACGTGGGGGGCCATCCGCCCGTGACCAGGCGCACCGGGCAGAAGCTGTGGTTGCTCCGAGGTGCGCTGCAGTGGCTAGCGAGCGGCCCCATCGTGACTGGCCGGCAAGTTGAAGTGGTGGTCGGTCACTTTGTCGCCGCAGCGCTTTTCAACCGAGCAGGGATGTATGTCCCTCGTGCTCTATACGATTTTATTCGTGATCGTTACTTGCGGCCGCGTCGACTCTGGCGCTCTTGCCGGTGCGAGGCGTGGATTTTCTCCGCCGTTGCAGTGCTGCTGGGGAGCCAGCAAGACAGGCCATGGTCGTCGACCGTGACGGCCACCGACGCCTCCACGACGGGGTTCGGAGTGTGTGAGAGAAGCAATTGGATATCTCGGAAGTCTCGGAGCTTGGAAGGCGGCATGAGAAGTGGAGGTTCAAACGTCTCCAACCCGAAGTGTGGACCCCCCGGAGGAGAGCCCTCGACGATTTCCCTGAGATCACCGATCCTGCTACCGTCCTCACCAACAATGTCATCGATGGGTGGGCCAAAGTCGCGGGGTTCCCAGAGGTCCCTCGTCATGTACTACATAAAGAGGGGTGGAGGGTGGTCTACAAGGGGCCGTATCGCTACATCGAACATATCGGGCTGAAGGAGGGGGGGGCTGTGCTATGGGCTCTACGTCGTCTCGCCAAGGACCCCTCTCACCATCAGCATCGTCACTTATTCCTGCTCGACAATTTCGGCGTCTGCTGCTGTTTCGATAGGGGCCGATCGCCATCATACTGTATGTTGCAACTCAACCGTCGCCTTGCGGCTCTAACCCTGGCCACCAACATCGGGCCGCACTTCCGGTGGATCCCGTCGGAATGGCAGCCAGCCGACGAAGCCTCGAGGACGTTCGAGGGCCTCTCGCTGGCGCATGCTGGGCCCGCTGAGCGTGGCTGGGCGCGTCACCTTCGCGGAGGGGCCGCAGAGCAGCTCGGACCGCCTGCCCGTGCCGACCTTGGGGCCACGGCCCAAGAGGCGCCGCCTGGCGACCGCCGCGGTTGCCGAAGGGCTGGCGCGCAGGCCGAGCGGCCTGGCGGGCAGGGCGGCCCCGGCCAAGAGGCCAGCGGCACGCCGCAAGCCCGCCGCCAGCGCCGCCCCCCGCGCGGCGCGGGCGCGGCCGGCGGCGCACGCACCGGCGCCGCCGCCCCAGCTGCACGCCCGACTGGCCAAGGCCCTGGAGCCCAACCGGAGCAGACCCGCTTCGGCCATGGCGCTCTCCAGGTGCGAGCTGGCCGCGACGGCCGACGCGACGCGCGTCGGCTACAGGGCGTACTCCGATGCGTTTCAGGTGTTCCTCGCCGAGGAGGGGGGGGGTGCCGTCGACCATCGAGGACATGGAGGTTCGGGTGCTGCAGTTCCTCGACCTCATGCTGGAGGCGGAGTGTACCCGAGCCGACGCGACCAACCTGGTCGCGGATTTTTTCTTTGCTTTTTTTTTTCTTTTTTTGTTTTTTTTTTTGATTGTTTTTTTTTTTCTTTTTTTTTTTTGTTGTTTTGTTTTTTTTTTTATTTTTTTTTTTTTTTTTTTTTTTTCTGTTTGTTTTTTTGTTGTTTGATGTTTTTGTTCAAGGACGCCTACCCGCGGTGCACAGGCTCTCAGTCGATGCCACGTGTGAACCGAGGGCTTCGAGGCTGCGCCAAGCGCAGGCCCCCTGCCTCTCGAGCCCCCGTGCCTCGGGAACTCTTCGGCGCTGCCGTGTCCGAGATGCTGGCGCGGGGGCAGTGGGACTGCGCCCCAGGTGGCGTCGACCTTCTTCACTTACATCCGCCCAGGAGCCCTTCGGAAGCTACAAGTACGGCAGCTGCTGGCCCCCTCGAGGGCCTCGGGGCAGTTGCAGTGCTGGAGCCTGATCCCCGCCCCGACCCAGATGGACGCGGGCGCGCCAGGCGATCCGAGGGGCCCCCATCGAGGGCTCACCAGGACAGGCACCTCGGACGAGACCGTGATCATAGACCACCCAGCCTGGCTCGGCGAGCGCCTGGCGGCCCATGTTCGGGGGGGGGGCGCCGACCGACCTGATCTTCCCCACCCCCGGCGCATTCGTGGCGGCCCAGTTCGGAGTCGCGGCCAGGAAGTGCGGCCCCCCCCGGGTCTGTCTCTACCAGCTGCGACACGGGGGGGCGTCGGGCGACATCCAGTCAGGCCGGCGGGGTCGGAAGACCGTGAAGGCTCGGGAGAATTGGAGGACAGACTCGTCCCTGAACAGGCACGGGAAGCCCGGAGCCGCGCACCAACTCCTCAATGCCATGACCCCTGCCTCGAGGGACATCGGCCGCCAGATGTTCGAGGTGATGGGGTCGTTGTTCGAGCGGACCGTTGCCGCAGAGACCATCCCCAAGTGAATCGTGCCCGCTCTTTTTCGGCCTGGGGTGACTGGGGCCCGCGCGGCGGTCTCATCCTCGCCCCGACTGTCCCTCGGCCAGGTTGGGTCGTGGCAGAGTTGATGGCAGGCAGTCGCGGCATCAGCACTGCCTGCAAGAGCGTTGTCTTCTTCACCCGCAGCTGGGAGTTGGCCGATCCCCCGCTGGAGGACTGCCCGCATAGAGATGTCTCGAGGCGTTTGCTCGAAGCTGCCTCCCATAATGTTCTTGCTATGTGCTGGATTGGCCTTGCGCGCGCGTCCCGGCCCCGCGCTAGGCGGAACCGGTCGGGCAAAAAAGGCTGGCCAGCACCAATTCGCGACCGCGAGCACCTACTTGGCCTCCCCGACCTTCCCCCCGGTGATTTTCGGGTGGTCCGGGAAGGCAACGAACGAGCTAAATGGGCCGCCAAATTTTTCGACGCCCTTCCGTGTCTGGGCGCGCCTTGCGTGATCGAGAACCCCGCCTCGATCATGTCGTGGGAGCTCCCTGGGTACGCTTGCTAGATAAGTATAACTCTGTCCAGATTATTGTGCTTTCGGCGCACCGCGCAGAAAGCGCGCGACCCTGCTGTTCCCCCACCTGCCTCTGGAGGAGCTCGCTGGGGCCCGCTGCCCGGGGGGGGGGGGGGCACTGTGCGTTCTCTGGCCAGCCTCGCACTGAGATCGCAGGACGCACTCCGGACAACAAACAGCCGTGGTCCAAGGTCGCGTCTGCTTACCCCCCCCAGTTTTGTCTCCACATAGGCCAACTTCTGAGTCGTTGGTGCCCCACCCATCCGCCCAGGACATGACATGGGTAAGGGTGTGTCTTGAAACGGACAAGGTCCGCGGATTGCGCAATCGTGCGATTCAAAGCCCCTTTAAAAGCCGTGCTGCGTCTGCTGCAAAGAATGCGCCCCTCCGCCCACACTCGTGGATCTGTGTGCAGGGTAGTGAGTGCCAGGAGGGGGGCTGTGAAGCGTACCTTCCGCAACCGTTGTGGCTCCAGGTCTCTCTTGTGTGTCCCGCCCTTTTTCCCCTCTTCTCTACACGGTGTGTCTTAAGCCCCTCTAAATCGTCAGAGCAAGCCGCGCTGCGTCTGCTGCAAAGAATGCGCCCCTCCGCCCACTCTCATGCTAATCATCCATCTGCTCCGTTCCTGACCATGTCAACCTTGGGCGCCATATCGACGTGTACTGCGCCATGCTGGCTGTGCCGGGCAAGCCTGTCCACCGATCTGGAGCCCAGGATTGGGCTGTCTCAGATCGTTGTAAATGGATGGTTTGCGTCGTCCCATGGTTGCCACAGGTTCCATGTGTCCACGCAGGTTTTCTCTCCCGCCTCTTGCCTTCCCCTCCCATCCTAACCAGATATTCTCCTCGTCGCGCTTCGTTTCAGTCGCCCATATGTGCTGGGGCCGGCCTTTTTTGTCCAATGTGTGTGTGTGTGCGTGTGTGTGTGTGCGTGTGTGTGTGTGTGTGTGTGTGTGTGTGTGTGTGTGTGTGTGGGGCGTTTGTGTTTGTGTTCCTGGATGTTTTGCTGTCATTGTTGTTTCTCCCTGCGGCCCCCTGGCTGGCCCGGGATTCCGCGCGCTGCCTTGATTCTCCTTTGCCGCCCTCATCTGCGCCGCGCTTGCTGCCTCGGTTCGTGGCTGCCGCATTGTTTCTCCTTGTTTTCGCGCCCCCATCTTTCCCCCTTTTCCCCCCTCCTCTCGCGACCGCCGTCTTACCCAAGCTGCCGTTTTACTCACTTACTGCACGTCTTTTCCTACTCTTACACTCTACATTTTCCTTCTTCGATGGCTTCTCCAGGTGATGGTGAGAAGCGGCTGCCGGGTACACCGGTCAAGCAGTTGCGCAAGCAGCACCGGATCCACAGCCCATTTCAAGAGATGGACGGGCTTGATGACGATACTGGGACAAAAGTTGGTATTGGACACGGAGGAGCGGGGGCGTCGACGGGGGAGATCAGCATGAACGCGATCGAGAATGGAGGGGGAGGCGTAGCCGGATCCGCCGCGGTAGGCATCAGCATGCCCGCGGTCGAGGGCATGTCCAAGCAGCACTTGAAGCCCATCCACAGGGACGTCGAAGCTATCAGGGAGCACGGCATTTCCAGAGGAGAGCTGCAGGAGGCTTTGGATCCGACCAATCACGACATGCAACAACGCAGCGATCGCATAGAGGTTTTGGAGCAGTCGGGTACCAGGTCTCCGTCGATAGCACCACCATCTACGCGTTCCGGTGCAGTTATCACATCTCAGATTGAGGGCGAATTGCTGGAATTGGAGCGTCAGTTCACGGAGCCCACCACGAATCAAGAGCGGGAATGCAATGCAGTGGTGATTGGTGGCGCCGTGCAGTTCCTCCAAGATCACATTCGACGTAGAAAAGCACCTGAACAATTTGATATTTTCGTGAAGGGCGACTTGAACAGCACCGTCTTCGCAAAATTCGCGTCCGTCACAGCCCGGGACACACTCGTGAAAACCATTGGGAAAGCGCAGATACAACGCCAATCAAGCACGGCGTGGACCCATGCCGGCAATGCTACCGAGAAGCAGGTGCCAGAGAGCTCCTGGTTCGGTCTTCGCAATTTGTTCCCGGGTCGGGGATATTCAAAGCCAGAGGCAGAAGGGGGCGCGACCACATGCAAACTAACAGCTGCGAAGGCAACAGTGGTCGCAGTGAGCGTATCCAACAACGCCCCCCATATCACATGGGGCAATGCGCGGGCTTATTGGGGTGATCTTGCAAAGAGTTTCGACATGCAGCAGCGATGCGCCCGTGCAAATGACGCCTTGGGCCAGCCTGGGAAAGGCGGGGGGTCAGGTAAGAACGGCGGCAGGTCTCATGAATAGGGGATCGGGCGGCGCATCGGCAACTCGAGTGCAACTTCGACCGGCAAACGGGTCATTTTGGCCGAATTCTTGCGGTGGGATTGCGTTTTGGACTGCCGAAGGCATCGGCCAGGACCGGCCGCGCAAGCTTTACGAACTGATCAGACATATGCAAGATCTGGACGCCGCGGTGCTGCGTCTCCAAAAGACGCATTGTCGTGGATCACCGGCTTACGAATTTGAAAACATCCTTTTCATTCTGTTTGGGGCCGAGAAGAAAGGAAGTGGGGAATGCGCTGGAGTGGGGGTTATTCTTGCACCTTGGGCGAAATATGCTGTGTGAGGATATCTTTAATGCAGCGACAGAATGGCGAGCTTACGGATGCGAGCCACAGGGGGGGTGCATCGACACTGGTCACAGCCCGCGCTTCCGCAGTGCAGTGCGACCGCGGCGTTCGCCGCGATTTCTTTGCCGAGCTGGGCAAATTCGCCAGTGGATGTCGGCCCCGTGGTCCCGCGGCATTGTCGGGGGACTTCAATGCCAGACCGTCGCAACAATATGCCGGGGAAGAAGATGCGATTGCAAAGTTCGCGCTCGAGAACAGTCGCGTTACTTGGGGCACGCTGTCAAATAGAGAGTTCCTGGAGGAATTGCGCGCCGGCATGGAAACGCGCGTCGCGAACGCATTTTTCGACGCGGGTCTAGATTCAGAAGTGGCCCTTACGACCTGGGCGCGCGACCAATGGACAAGCGAACCCCGGACAGTCTCGAGCAGCTTGACCACGCGATCGTCAAGGCAGCTTGGGCGTCAAATCTTACAGCCACATGGGGCGATAGGCGTTGAACTTCACTACCGCATCACTTCATTGCGGTTGTGGACATGGACATCAATATTCGTATTCTCGAGCGCCTCTCGCCGAGAACCAGGATTTGCTCTGGCAGCTCTCCAGGGTCAGGGGGTCAAGCAGAAATGCGCAGCTGGATTAATTCATCGAAGAATGGAACAAAAATCAGCAACGCGAATCCGCCCGCGCGAAAGCCAAGGCGATCGCGTCGCGCGCGTGGCAATCGGCCAAAGAAAATGCACCGGCTCTCGCCGCGACCCCGCGCCAGCCGTGGATCGCGCAGCGGGGCCTTCGTAGACTGCGCAATTGCGACAGCGAAGAGGTCAGAAGACTGAACATCAGAAAAGGAAAACACAAACACACACACACACACACACGCACACGCACGCACACTCACACGCACACGCACACGCACATGCACACGCACACGCACACGCACACGCACACGCACACGCACACGCACACGCACACGCACACGCACACGCACACGCACACGCACACGCACACGCACACTCACACGCACACCACACGCACACGCACACGCACACGCACACGCACACGCACACGCACACGCACACGCACACGCACACGCACACGCACACGCACAAGCACACGCACACGCACAAGCACACGCACACGCACACGCACACGCACACGCACACGCACACGCACACGCACACGCACACGCACACGCACACGCACACGCACACGCACACGCACACGCACACGCACACGCACACGCACACGCACACGCACACGCACACGCACACGCACACTCACACGCACACGCACACGCACACTCACACGCACACGCACACGCACACTCACACGCACACGCACACGCACACGCACACGCACACGCACACGCACACGCACACGCACACGCACACGCACACGCACACGCACACGCACACGCACACGCACACGCACACGCACACGCACACGCACACGCACACGCGCACGCGCACAAACACACACACGCACACACACACACACGCACCCACGCACACACACGCACACACGGGCGCAACACACGCACGCGCACACGCACACGCCCACACACACACACGCAAACACACACACACCACACGCGCACACACACACGTAAACAAGCATGCTTTCATTGGTTTTTTCCGCTTACGCCTTTTTGTTTTTTTTTTTTTTTTGTTGTTTTTTTTCCTCTTGAATTGTTTGTTTTTTTTTTTTTTTTTTTTTTTTGTTTCTTTTGTTTTGTTTTTTGTTTTTTTGTTGTTTGTTTTGGTGTTTTTTTGTTTTTCTTTTTTTTTTCTTTTTTGTTTTTTTTTTTTTTTTTTTTT